ATTGGCTGTTTTACACACGAATTGCGTCCGGTGTGTCTCGGCCTTTATTTAAACGTTATGAAATATTGAGCGCTATGGAGAAAATCGGGGATATTTTTTGTATATCATTTATTCTGCAGGCCATGGCAACAAACAGAAATAAGAGACAGGTTACTATTATCAAAATAATAATGCAATTTTCCGTCAGCAAAATTCCGTGGGCATTTTGAGTAAATTAATGTACCCACATGCAGTTACTCAAAATAGTGGGTAAAATTAATCAAATTGGCAAATTATTTGGTAAAGACTCAATTTTTTAGGTAATGTTCACTTTATGTTTATTGAACTACTTAATAAAGGTGTACTTTCTACTAAAGAAAAGTAAATTTGCACATATGTCAGAAATTTTACTCAATATTAAATTTCAGTCACTGTGTGTGAATAATTTTACTGGTTCAAATTTTTGAGTCAAAAAGTTTTGCAGTGCATGCATTCGTAATAAGTATAAGTAAAGCACCATGTATGCAGCACTATTAAAATGAATTCATGCATGTATACTATTTGCATAACAAACTAATTCAAGCAGAAAACCGCGAGAAAAACTGCATGAAGAATCTGAGAATAACGTTATTCTATCAATCTAAATGCTCATTCATATTATGAGGTTAATTACTCTTTTTGCACTTTGAAATATTAATATCGATGAAACGTATAATCAAATGCAATTCAAAGAACGACCGGTTGAAAATTTTGTAACATATAATTAACAGCTGAAACTGAACAATAAACAATGAAACAATTATTGCTTTTAAATATGTCATATGCAGTAAGACCTATATGCCAAAAAAAGTCCCAAACGCCCAAAGAATATTAATAATGTCATTCTAAAAATCGTAAATATAGTTTTTTCTATGGGGCAGTTGCCTCCCCCCACCCTCCGCTGTCTACGGCGCTGGCAGGACGTATAAGATATGTGGCGACCATATACTTTAGCATGTTCGCTTGCGTTAGATGTTGGGTTTATCAAAAAAATTTACACAGTAGCATATATGATTCGGTAATTGGATTCATTTTTTAGCTGTCTATGAATGATATTTCTAAGAAGTATTCTGGATAATCCATATTCAAACTTTACGAAATTTTAAGCGATTGGATGTAAATCAGGGACACCATTTAGGTATCTTTAAATTCATGAATAATTAACGAGCGGTATAAATGTCGACACTGAAAAGAAATCGCAATTGTGACGGCAACGGGACATGTGAATCAATTTGCAAGGAATTTTCTCAACAGAAACCTAAATTTCACTAATGTTCATTCACTCGTACATTTGAGCCGACAATTCGGATATTTTGCTTTGGATCGAACTAATTGCATTGAAATGGATATTCGATTATACGGAACTAACTTTTCTAAAGTACATTGACAAGTGATATAACATTTAATGCTCGAAATACTTATTATCGCTTCTGCATAAGAAACTCGCATATAAAGGCGGAATATTAAGCGAATTTTCTATCTGCGCTTGATTTCGTTACATTTAAATTTCACTTAAAATGTTAATTCACTTGCCAATTTGAGATGCCATATCAAATCGAACAATTCGGATATTTTGTTTTTGGACTGAACTAATTGCATTGAACTGGATCATTGAACTGGATATCCGCTTATATAGGGAACTAACTTTTGTAAAGCACATTGATAAATCATATAACATGTAATGCTCAAAGTAATTAATATTGCTTCTGCGCAAGATACTGGCATATAAAATCGGGAAAGCTAAGGGAATTTTGTATTTAGGCTTGACGACGTTGCATTTCGTACATTAGCTTTAACGACGTTCCTCTAACCGCGAAATGAATTCAACAAATGCATCAAGTGTTTTCATCATGGGTTGTCTTAGGGGTGAAGAGGTGCAAATTTTTGTTCATAAATTTCCAACACAGTTCACATTTGTAAGTCATGTTGCTGCCTGTTTCTTCAGCATTCTTACCATGTTAACAACGATTACTTTAAATTCCCTAACTTTTGCAACATTTTGGTGGTCTCTTAGAATGAGAAAATCAATTTCATTTTTTCTTATCATGATTCTATCTGGTGTCGACGCTGTGGCTGGATTACTCGCCAATTCTATGTTTACATTGCGTCTCGCAAGCGAGGTTTTTGGAACTGTAGAATGTTGGATGCTATTTGCACAGAGAAGATCTTCCATCGCTATGACATTATGTTCGTTATGGGCAATTTCGGTCATAAACCTTGAGAGATATATTGGAGTGGTACATCCAATGTACCATCATACAAAATTACAAAAAAGCACCCTATTGAAGTTTCTTATGTCCTCTTGGATTGTATGCGCGATTATGTTGGGGTTATCATTTTATAATTTTAACATTTTGGTAAGGTTTGCAACAATCAATTATTTCGGCTTCATGTTGTTCACAGTATTTGCATACACATGTATTGGATTAAAGGTCATTGCCACAGAAAGACAACGTATGACATTCTCTCCATCAGCGCAAAATCACGATTGTGAGTCAGAGGCGACAAGGAAAGAAATAGCGCGCTTTTTAAGGGAACTAAAGTTCGCGAAATCTTGTTTTATTATCGTTATATGTTATGTACTTTGCTTCACGCCAGTGGCTGTTTTCCTTGGAGCAATGCATCGCAAGCTTTCTGAGGATAACTTGATTATTGCCATTGCATGGTGTGTGAATTTGGCCATGCTAAGTTTCAGTCTAGACTCTTTGATATTTTTTTGGCGAAGCAGACAATTAAGAAGAGAGACAATAATTTTCTTAAAGAGAATGATTAAATGCAGTAAGAAGGTTATGTAATTACTGTCATCTAAATTATATTAGAATGATGATTATAGCCAAAATTTATAGAAAGTCCCAAAAACTTCAAGGTAAAATTAAATGAACAACAGTACGTTAACCGAAAATAAACTGGAAAATATAATGTCCGGAAAAATTTTTTATGTTGAACCGCCAATCCCTCCACCCCCGCTCGCCAACAATTTTGGGAAAAAAATTAATTAGTGTTTGAAATGACTCTTCACTCACCCCCCCCCCCCTTCAAATAGAGCTAGTGACGCCCCTGAGCGCAGGCTCAAATAGGACGAGGTACACTTTCCTTTCTCCAAGCAATTTCGCCCAGAGAAAAAGTGAGGACTGGGACTGTGACTTTGATTTTTGGTCTAAATTTTCCAAATTGCTAACAGCCTACTATTTATAAACTGTAACATACCTGTTATTTTGAAGTATCTTCGGCAAAGGTCGTTTAAGATGGCTTCATACAGTTTCTTGACAACTGAAAAAGACACATTTCAGACAAAAAAAATTTGCACATTTATATTTTTATAGAAGAATGAAACCAGATGTCTTGTATACAACAGTATATTTTGACAATCAGAAACTGTAACGGAACATTTCTTAACTGTGGTCACTATGGAACAATGACGCTTCAAAATGGCTGTTAATTCGAATTTAAACTAGTTTAATTCGAAATCAACGTTGGCGACCGCTAATTTTTATTTGATTAAAAGTTTTCTTCTAGTATAACCAATCAGTTGGACAATTTTTAAAAAATTCTGTAGATCCAAAAATTTTTGTCAGGAATAAACACATTTCTTCGATTTGAAAAATTTTGGATCCACAGACTTTTCTAAAATTTTCTTAGTGATTGCTCATACTAGATCTAGAAAAAACTTTTATATAAACATTAATTGCTCTTGTTGTTCAAGTCTTTCCTATGCACTGTATGCCAAAGTTTCTTAGTTAAATTAACTTTTGTAGAAATTCATGATAAAAACGAAAGCAAATAATGTTCGTAAGCGTCCTGTACGCATTAAATTTATTTCATTTCAAAGTGCGAGTAATAAATTAAAGCTCGATGTGAAGAGTTTATTAAGTTAAATATCAGCAAAATTTAAAACTAAAAGCAAGACGTTAATATCAATTCACAATAAAAACAGTTTTACATAGAGTTTTGTTTTGAATTTTACATTAAAATAAAGCTCATAGAAAACAAAGTAATATACCTACTTTATCTATTTTATAAATTTGATAGTTCTGTATTAAAAGCGTTCAAGTTTCATCTATTTTTTGCAGGTTTATACAAAAAGTTTAAAAGACAATTATCGTGTAGCCATGACTAAACATGACGTGCAACGCGAGCCTGCGTTCAGTGTTGGCATAACTACGAATACTTGAATGTTGAGACAATGTTTGAAAAATAAAGGCGAGGGATTGTTGTATACATGTATTTCTAGTTTAAGCTGACCATGTTTCACTGTACCTTTTTGTGCCCTTTGTCCTTCTCTGTCCTTAAACTCGAGCGGTTCGTGCCAGCGTAGGTAGTGACAAAAACACCAGATAACTGTAAATGGCTGAGGATTTAACTACCAGAAAATAAAAACAAATAAAATTTTCACGTTTTAAGCGAAGGCTCTTTGTGCATGGGGAAGTTAATAGCATGCATGGTTCGGAAAAATACATGAGTTTTCATACTAATGAATATGAAGGATTACGAGACAAGAAGTGAACCAACCAGATGGATTGGGTAAAAAAGTGTAAACAAGAAATTCAAATCACTTCACAAAATATATTACTGAGCGATAAGGAGGAAGAATTATTATTTGTCAATTACGTAATCTTAAAATTTCAAAGTCTACCGGTATTGATAACATCCCTGCTATAGCTCTTAAATTGTCCGCGGAAGTTATTGGTCCTTCATTAACATGGATTTATAATCTTTCAATCAAAACTGGGATATATGTTGATGAATGGAAAAAGGCGTGGGTAATGCCAATTTTTAAATCTGATGATAGACAAAGATGTGAAAATTACCGACCGATATCTATATTGCCTATTGTCAGTAAAATACTAGAGAGATCGGTTTTCAACCAGATTTATAAGTTTTTGAATGATAATTCGCTGCTATCTAAACATCAATCTGGCTTTCGGCCTAAGCATTCAACTTTAACAACACTCATTCAAATGTGTGACACACTTTATGAGAACATGGATAATGGTCAGCTGAGTGGTGTTGTTTTCCTTGATATTAGAAAAGCTTTTGATTCTATTGATCATACAATCTTATTGCAGAAGATGAATGATCAATTTGGAATAAAAAATGTGGAACTGGATTGGTTTAAGTCCTATCTAACTAATAGAGAGCAAGCATGCATTGTCAACGGTGCAATGTCATCACCTAAAACGATTGTGTGCGGAGTTCCGCAGGGATCAATTCTTGGTCCCTTGCTGTTTTTATTATATATTAATGATTTACCCGAATGCCTCGAAAAAACTTCGCCACACCTATACGCTAATGATACTCAAATTTCTACTTCTGCTAAAACTATTGAGGAACTTACTGAAAATCTAAATAATGACCTGAAAAAAGTCGGTGAGTGGCTTGCTTGAAATAAACTGCAACACCACCCAACTAAGACCAAATTAATGTATATCGGTTCAAAGTATAATACTGATACTATGACTTATGATATTCCAGTAATGATGAATAACCAATTCATAACTCTTGCTCATTCATACACATGCCTTGGGGTTAAACTTGATGAAAACCTTAATTGGCATGAGCATGTTGAAATGATGTGTAAGAAAGTTGGGGCCGGCATAGGAGCAATGCAACGAATTAAGCCATATGTTCCTATAAATACCCTGCATACCATTTACAGAGCTTTGATAGGACCGTATTTTGATTATTGTAGTCCATTATGGGACGTCTGTAACCAACAGCTGAAAGATAAGCTTCAAAAGTTCCAAAACCGTGCAGCGAGAATTATAACCGGCGCCAGCTATGAAATAAGGTCTGCTGATGTTCTTCGATCCCTTGCTTGGGAAAATTTAGAGATAAGACAACGTACAATTAAATCCACATTAATGTATAAAGTCCTGAATGATTGCGCTGGGCCGAACTTGAAGGATGCTCTAACGAGAAGGGACCTTGTTCAAACCAGTTATAATCTTCGCAATACTTATACTGACCTTACCCTTGCTAAGCCAAAACGAGAATTTCTAAAAAAAAGCTTTAAGTATAGCGGAGCTAAATTGTGGAATAGTCTTCCTTCTGATGCGAAGCCAGCGCAATCAATTTATTCTTTTAAAAACTGCCTGAAAGATTCACGCTAACATCTTCTAATATACTGTATATGCATGCTTTAGAAATATGGGTCACACCGTTTGGAACTTAATTCTTGTATTGTAAATAGTTGTATATAATTCTTTATTCTTTTCTATATCATATTTGTAATTTTTAATAGTAACAGACGTCCCTCGTGAAAATCAACAAATCGTTGACGAGGCTAACGTCTTTAAATAAAGTTTACATATACATATATATATATATATATATACATATATATATATATATATATATATATATATATATATATATATATATATATATATATATATATATATATATATATATATATATATATATATATATATATATATACTAATATACTGATACTAGTAATAGTAATATACTGATTGAGCCGAACAAGCCGTCTGCTCGTCACCAAACCACAATACCACAAATCAAATATTATAAGGAATGCAAATTCATCTGATGAAGCTCGTTTGGATATCAGTGCTCGTGGTTTTTGGCAAAGGGGGCAACGTGCACTTTATGATGTAAGGGTTTTTAACCCATTCGCAAAGAGTCACCTTAACCAGAAATTGGACACAGCGTTCAGAATAGGCTCAGATTCCAGCCGTTGTGTTCTCGCCACTCGCCCACTTAACGGCTGGGTCAATGAGCTTCGGCATTGTTCTGATTGACCAATCACATTACAGCCCCCCAAACTTTGGGTGGCATAAATTTGTATTAATATGCATAAATTTAACACAAAGGTAATAAATTAAATATGGCTAAAGCGCATTGCTGAAGCGTTCGAGGAGACGAGGACGGCGTTGTGCAAATATGTGCACTTAAAAAGATCTGTTCAACGATATTTATACGTGAATTACATGGGTTAAAGCGACATTTTCTGGGGAAGAGTAATTCCGACGATTTTGACGACACGCATTATGATTTACAGTGTCTCTCTACGTTAATAGTCGCTGGAATGTTTTCGAATCCGTTGTATATTTTTATATTGTGTTTATAAATAATATATCTCATTGAGGATTTTTGGTCATGAAAGGGCAAAGAATATTTTGCGTGTGGCTTAGCAAAATTAATAACCTTTCTTTTTTTAGCTTAGTTAGCTAGGTGGCCTAGTCCTTTCAAACCCTCCCTGTTTCTGCTGATTCTGTTGGATATTTATAATTTAATATATTTACAGTAAACCTGGATGTGTTTATTATTGGGCTGGTCTGACATATTGCCAGGAAAGTAGAAAATGTTATTTTGCAAAGTCTTGTGACATATAGTAGGCTATATTAGTATGTAGGATATTGCAGTATTTAAAAGGCTTATTTTAATTAATATTAAGACATGCTTATATGATCCTGTCAGGTGGGAAACCTTGCCAGGCAGCTAGGATGACATGTTTATACATGTTCGTGAGTGAGTTCATCAAATATATACGTGTGTGCTCATATATGCTAATTGCTAATTACATGCAAGCACAATAAATTCAATATTATTTTATATATTGACAATATGATTTACCATGAATACTAATTGAATAAATGTGGGCACATCGTTATTTGAAGGGCAATAAATAAATCCAATTGGTATCAAGTGTTTCTTTGTTGTGAAGGGGCAAAGAATGGGACTTGTTGGATAGCCTAAGTAGAGGATTTATGGAATAAAAGTAAGCAATGTTTTATAAATTCAGACATCAGTGAAATATGCATTTAGTCTGTTCAACAAGCTCAAATATGTTTGCTCTCAGCCCTCAGGCTGAGTTTTGGAAACCTTGTCAGTATGGTATTAAGAAAAGGTTAGTTGTCATGTCAATGTGTGTTTTTAACGGCTGTTCTTATGAAAGCCAGACTGAGAATGACAAAGCATGATAAATTGCTAGTTCTGAAAGATTGAATATTTATTTAAGCTAATAAACAAGGGTTCAGAAAATTTGTTGCAGTAACACTTTAGTTAGAAAATATCAAAATGTTAAACACCAAATTTATCCTGGCATGGGGGATTAAGTTTTCATGGGGGAAAAGAAGCCAAATTCTTCTTGCATTCCTGCAGAGATGTATTCAGGGATGGGGGTGCAGGGGGTGCTATTTTTCATGATAAAGCAAAAAATTATTAGAGACAAAATGACATACAGTAATTTGAGTAATAACATGATGATAAGTGAAATGTGAACAACAATTACAATTTAAATACAGTAGTCAAGCAGGACTTTGCAGTAGTGAAGCAAGTTGATGGGCGGGTGGCGCACATGACCGACACAACTCGGCACCAGAGCTGGCAGAGCACCCCCCTACCAGATCATGCTGGATCGATCCCTGGATGTATTTATGCCATGGGGATGCACCCCCCTTAACATTGGCAAAGGGGTGTAAGGTGGGGGGGGGGGGTTATTTCATCAAATCATTTTTTTTCAATTTGGAAAGGCAATATCCTGTCACCATTACCACAATAATACCCCTCACTGCTGTGTGTAGCTACAAATGATTACTGACTTGGTCAACAGTCATACACTGAACCATATATGGGTCGATGAGCACACCCGGCCTCCATTTGTACAGACAACTTATACAACACCGAAATAAAGCCAAGAACATTTTAAATTTCAAATATTCTTGCTACATCTAAAGACTGTTTAACCAAATCTATGAAGGTGCACAGTAAGGTACAGTTCAACATCAAACACTAGGTCTTCTATTTTGTAGCTTTGAAGTTTGCAGGCTTCCAGACCATCATAATGATCATATCTTGACAGACTATAAAAGACTTAGTTCCTTCACTGTCCCTCGAACAAAATCGATCATAAAGAAAATATTTAGATATTAATCACAAAGCGTAAAATTGCATTACGTATAACTATAGTCTATAAACAACTCAAATATTAACATTAAATTTATGTTCCTCTTCAAAGAATATTCATTGAAAAACTATTTGTTTGAAATAAGACGTTAATTATTCAGATTCACCTGCTTTTGTTGGTAGGGTTTATTGTTTTACTATTTAGATATATACTATTCATTGACTCGTGTACATTGCAGTTCCTGTCTTCGTTAAAAACATACTAGAACTTAATAACATTTTGTCAAATGAACTTAAAAGCTTCCATTTTGTTTTCCTTTACAAAAAAAGTTATCGATGAATGCACAAAGTTGTTAAAATTTGCTATTTCCTCTTCGAAACAAAATTGTTCGCTCCTGACAGCCGCCATTTTACATTGCACAGAAATACATAATTATGCAAAACATATGCATAAATTTAAATATTAACCTTGACGTCACAGACAAGAAATATTAACCATTGACCCGAAACGAATAAGAAACGAATACCATTTTGCCCTCAAAATTTACAAAAACACGTTAAAACGTAAAAAAGAACTTTTTCATGAAAAAAAACTAGAAGAACTAGAAAGAGTGTCTGAAAATGACCCAAACTCCTTCTGGAAAGTACTTAAGAACATGAGTGATGAACTCGAAGACTTTTCCTTTAATAAGCCGGATGTTACAGCCAGCAGTTGGCTAAATCATTTTGAATCTCTGCACACAAAGCACTTAATAGGCCCTGAACAGATTAATATCTTACAAACGCTTAAAACTCTTGAAATGGAACCCACAAATAATTTACTCGATGAACCTATTTCAGAATACGAAATTATCAACGCTGCGAGGAAATTAAAAAACAACAAATCCGCGTACTCTGATAAAATAAGAAACGAAATGCTCAAATACAGTACAAACATACTGTTACAAGGATACAAAAAACTTTTTAACCTCATACTAGAAACTGGTAGCTTCCCAGATCAATGGTGTGAAGGTCTGATTACGCCAATCTTTAAGTCTGGTGATAAAACTAACCCCAACAACTACAGAGGAATTTGTGTGACAAGCTGTTTCAGCAAATTCTTCTGTATTATCCTTAATGACCGCCTAAGCAATTTTAGTTACCAACAAAGCTTAATACATCCATCGCAAATTGGATTTCAGTCTGGTCACCGAACTGCAGACCATATTTTTACTTTGAAAACACTAATTGACAAACAAGTAGAACAAAACAAAGGTAAAATTTATGCATGTTTCGTGGATTTTAAAAAAGCCTTTGACTCTATTTGGCACGAAGGTCTTTTTTTGAAATTACTTGAAAATAAAATTGATGGTCAGTTTTACAGTCTTATTAAGAGTATTTATTCTAACTCGAAATGTGCAATCAAACAAAACAACATCAGAACCGATTTTTTCACTTATTCTAAAGGTGTACGTCAAGGATGTATACTAAGCCCCCTTCTTTTCAATATTTATATAAATGAAATAACGACCTTATTTAAAAACACCAATTCGGACCCATTTATACTGCCAAACGGAACAGAACTGAGCTGTCTTCTTTACGCAGATGATCTAATTATACTATCTAAATCAAAATTCGGCCTCCAGAAGTGTCTGGATAAACTCCATAGCTGGAGTAAGAAGTGGCTAATGGAGGTAAACCTAAAGAAAACCCAAATTATGATTTTTGAAAAAAGGAAAACAAAAAAGCGAAGCCAATTTTTACACTAGGAAATGAAAAGATATCTGTTGTACAGGAATACTGTTACCTAGGCATAAAGCTTAATCACAATGGTAATTTTTCCTTGGCCATCAAACAGCTGAGTGAAAAAGCCCTGCATGCGCTCTATAGCATCAGAAGACGGCTCAACCTACACCAACTTAACCCCAAATCTGCTATTAAAATTTTCGACAGCATAATTTGCCCCATTCTTCTGTACAATGCAGAAGTTTGGGGTGTATATATCAAAAACGATTTTATCAATTGGGATAAACTGCCGGTTGAAAAAGTACACTTAAAATTCTGTAAGCTCTACTTAGGCGTTGGCAGAAAGACGAGTAATATCGCCTCAAGAAGCGAACTTGGAAAATATCCATTAATTATCAATGTATTCAAAAGAATCTTCAAGTACGTCACTCATCTTAATTCACTTCCTGAAACAACCATTTCAAAACAAGCTTTCCTCATATCAAAAGATTTATTTATTAAAAAGAGCAATTCTTTCTATGGAAAAGCAATGGATATAGTGAAAACCTTGAATTGTAATAGAGCAATCCCTGACCTAGATTCACTTACAACCAATCTAGTTGAATCATGCGTTAAAGATACTAAAGAAAACTACCAGAGATTCTGGAGACATAAACTTGAAAACTCATCCAAACTTACCTTCTACACAAGCATAAAGGAAGACTATGAGCTTGAAACTTATTTGACTACCATAACTAATTCAAACCAAAGAAAACATTTAACACAGCTCCGACTAAGTAACCATAAACTAATGATTGAACTCGGTAGATACGAAAACATTCCGCGAGAAGACCGAATATGCAAGGTCTGCCAGGCAGGAGAAATTGAAACGGAACATCACTTCCTAACATCCTGTGAAGCCTATAGTAGTCTCCGAGAAAACTTTTTAAATAACTTGGAAAGTGATCCCACCAATGAAACAGATTTAAACGAACACAGTTTATCAGTTGAGATAATGAAATCAACTGATAAAGAAACCGTGATAAAATTATCAAAATTTATCTCTTTATGTTTTGAGAAGAGATCTAAATACCTTGAAGCTCGGAATGCTGACAGTCAATAGGCTATCGAACTAACTCCCAAACTTCTTCAATTACATATACTGTATACTGTAAATAGAGTATTCATTTGTTAACTATGCCTTTCTTTATATCAATAACTTCATTTTTATTTCTTGTATTACTCACAGTGTCATATTACCACAGAACATTTTGCATTTGTAACTATTTATAATTAACTAATAAGCTTTAGCAATACTTGTATGTGAAGTCATGCTAATAAAGCCATTTGTTACTGTTACTGTTACTGACCCAGTCGTTAAGTGGGCGAGTGGCGACTGGCGAGAACACAACGGCTGGAATCTGAGCCTATCTTCAATACCGAGAGCCTGATACTCAGGTTACAATAGTACAAACTTGACTTCGTCAACTTTGCACTAATAACGAATGTATTAATTGAGAATTAAGCGTTGAATTCTTTAATCTTTATCTGGAATCGGAAATCGCTTCGTCTTGAAGAATGAACAACGAATATCAATCCAACATTTGTTGCTTGATAGATGTGATGGTGTGATACCGTGATAAAAGTGCAGATTTGAAGATACAGGCTCTTAAATGACACTCGAAGTAGTGTTTTTGATAGCGATTGGAACAAGACTATTACAAAGTTACGTCCGAAGGGGCCGAAGTTATGTTCGGCGAAAGGTATGCATAAAAATTGCGTAATTTGATAATTCACGAACTCGCTAATTGACTTTCAAAGCTCATAAATCGCTATAATGTTGACATCGACTAAAACTATCGCTATGAATGAGGACATATTGTTACGCTGAATCGAACGTGGTATTTTTGTCTCCATAGGCATAGCATTGAATGAACCGAAGATATGAAACGTCAAAGCCGTATATTTGCACTGGTGCAAATACGTGAGTTTGACAAAAGTTTGACAAATAATTAAAATAAATACATTAAGATGGGCGGGACCGTGCGTTCGGTGGGCGAAACTCAGAATGTGTAGTTTTTGGGCCGCAGGCTACACCCCCCTCCCCCCCCGAGGACATAGTAACAGAGATGGGCTCATAGGGAGAACTGGTAGGGATACTGACAGATTCAACAGGTTGGGGTACCAAGCTTGCGTTGGCCACAAAAGAGTGACTAGTATCAACTCTGCCCCTTGTGCCCTCAACTTCGCTAGTGATCACATTATCAGGCAAAACGTAGGGCATGCATAGCTTTTCTCGTGCGACCAGTCCTGTTGAAGGGCATCCGAGGCAATCGCTTTTGGATCTGGCCTCCAGCTGAAAAACTGAGGCAACTGAGCATTCAGTCTGTCCCATGACCGGGGATTGTAGCCCGCGTCTTTCCATTTCTTTCGACAGTTTCAGCACAGAATACTATACAGAAGTCCATCTCCATTGTTTTTTGCGCAAGCGCTATTCGTCATGATTCATAAATCAGGTCTAAGCACTCAGGCAAAACTTTTGCGAAAGAAACCAGCGAAGAATAACAAATCGACAAGTTTTAGGCTTTACGCCTTTACCCTTTGTCCATGTTTAACAAAATCGATTTAAAGGAGCTGTGTCACCGTGTGTGCATCCTACGTGTTTCTAACACTAAGTAATGATAAATTATTGTTAATTAATATTTTTAAAATTTTTTGTGCGTTTTTTCCTTCTTTTACTGTATTTCAAATACAAGTATAGTTAGCTTAAATTTTAGAGCAAATTTAGATGCTCAGAATGTAGGAAATGGCATTTCCAGGCTTCAAATTTCAAAAATTTTCTGCCGGAGTATGCCCCCAGACTCCCTTATTCATGCGTAGTATGTCGGCCACATATGTGGACCACAGCCATTGCTATCCCCCTTTAATATGTAATGGATAAATTATTGTTAATATTTTTTTATTTTTTCTGCATTTTTCCCTTCTTTTATTTCAAATACAAGTCAAAGGAAATCAGCCTTTTTCGGTCGTAAATCTGGATGAAACGGCATTGGCGTTTCTCCAACCATATCTGATTTCCTGGCTGGCTTAGACAGGCCCTGAAATGCGGCAGCTGCTGCAAACTCAACAATTGGTTCTGAGCCTGGATTCACCGTTTCACTGTGTTCAGTCATGCTACTCATGCCTGGCTCTTCATCCTCAGAAGAGCCGGAATCACTGCTCGAGCTAGAGCTCAAAGATGAACTAGACAATGAACTGGAGGATGAAACATAAGTACAAGATTTAGATCTACGTTTTTTGTGCCCCTTACGTGTTTGGCAGTTTTAGAAGAGCTTTCAGATCATCTTCGTTTTTTCCCGCCATGGCTTGCTGAGCTTGATGCTGAGTTTTTATGAGGCATTTTTTTTCCTCGGTGGCTGTTTCACCGAAGCATTTCCTAGCGAGCTTTCTCACAGAGCTAGATTAGGGTCTAGTGATTCCCCATTCTCGTTGTTTTGTGGCATGCCATAATGCCAAATACATCCGAAAAATATCTCTCTAAAAAAACACAACCATGCAAAGCGAGCTGATGAAGAACTGAAGCTATATATCGCGAGGTCGCTAAGCTATGACATTTTATTTTAGTACTTAGGCTTCATCAGCTGTGTATTGTGAGTTATGAGGAATAAAGCATTGTTATATCAAACTTCTGTGTTTGAAATATAATGCCCTATATTCAGGTCTCGCAGTATGATGATAAAATATTCTGCCATTTTGGGTGGCAAAAATGTTTATTCAACGACTATACTACACAGAAATGGATCATTATCACTCTTCAAAGTGCTCAAACAAAAGCATCAGCCACGGTCAGTGCCAGTGTTGCTTTGACGTCATGTTTGTTTGTAATTATATTTAATTTGCCACTCAAAATGGCAGAATTTAATAAATATACGTGTTGTGGCATCACTTGCAAGATCCCAATACATGCAACTGATACAGCCACTAAATAATTAATATTAAAAAACTACAGGACAATCTACGTACGTACTGTACGTACCAAATATTAGGCAATCTAATTATCAGCTGGAAAATGTTTGGGGATGAAACAACCAGATATTTGTAGCTTAATGGCCGGTATCTGGTTGTTTCATCCCCAGACATTTTCCAGCACTGATAATTATAATAGATATTTGCCTCAGGATATATATTTGCAGACTACACTATCTACAGCTAGGCATTATTTAAATGTGCAAGTCTATCATTTGAATTTGTGCAGGCATAATCTAGAATTCAGACTTTCTGAAAATGTTTAGCTCACAAACGTATGAGAATGAATTTTTTATACATAATTAACAATAGTTAATCTAGTCAGATAACCTCTAGTTTATTTGAGACATTATGAGGTCGCTAATAAACGAAAAAACATATAACCATGCTTTATATTAAATAACATCTGCTTAAGTTTAATTCACTTACTCAAGTTGGAATAGAAATGTAAATAGTTCCACTACAAAACGTCTGCAATATATTTTAATTGTTCATCTTCTTTATTGCCAATGTTTGCTGCATTTACAGTCATACAAGCATCACGAGATGTTTCCGACCAGAGTATGCCCGTTCGCAGGTTAGGTGCAATCTCGTTCCCCGAGCCTGCGATCCTTGGGAAGGAAACGAAGGGTATAGACTTCATGTAGCCCTCATTATAGTATATCAGAATACAATGAGATTAGAGTACCTTAGACTGTACTAGCGTACATTAAACTACCTTAGGGTAGCTTGGCCCACCTTACGGTACCTTGGTCTACCTTGACCTCCCTTAGGCTGCCTTGGCCTCCCTTAGGGTACCTTGACCTCCCTTAGGGTACCTTGGCTTCCCTTAGGGTACCTTGGCCTCCCTTAGCCTACCTCGGCCTACCTTAGGGTACCTTGGCCTCCCTTAGGCTACCTTGGCCTACCTTAGGGTACCTTGGCCTCCCTTAGGGTACCTTGGCCTACCTTAGGGTACCTTGACCTCCCTTAGGCTACCTTGGCATCGCTTAGGGTACCTTGGCCTCCCTTAGGCTACCTTGGCCTCCCTTAAACTACCTTGGCCTACCTTAGGGTACCTTGGCCTACCTTAGGGTACCTTGGCCTCCCTTAGGGTACCTTGAACTCCCTTAGGCTACCTTGACCTCCCTTAGGGTACCTTGACCTCCCTTAGGGTACCTTGGCCTCCCTTAGGCTACTTTGGCCTCCCTTAGGCTACCTTGGCCTACCTTAGGGTACCTTGGCCTACCTTAGGGTACCTTGGCCTACCTTAGGGTACCTTGGCCTCCCTTAGGGTACCTTGACCTCCCTTAGGCTACCTTGGCCTCCCTTAGGGTACCTTGACCTCCCTTAGGCTACCTTGGTCTCCCTTAGGGTACCTTGACCTCCCTTAGGCCACCTTGGCCTCCCTTAGGGTACCCTGACCTCCCTTAGGGTACCTTGGCCTCCCTTAGGCTACCTTGGCCGACCTTAGGGTACCTTGGCCTACCTTAGGGTACCTTGGCCTACCTTAGGGTACCTTGGCCTACCTTAGCGTACCTTGACCTACCTTAGGCTACCTTGGTCTACCTTAGGGTACCTTGACCTCCCTTAGGGTACCTTGGCCTCCCTTAGGCTACCTTGGCCTACCTTAGGGTACCTTGGCCTCCCTTAGGCTACCTTGACCTCCCTTAGGGTACCTTGACTTCCCTTAGTGTACCTTGGCCTCCCTTAGGCTACCTTGGCCTCCCTTAGGCTACCTTGGCCTCCCTTAGGCTACCTTGGCCTCCCTTAGGCTACCTTGGCCTACCTTAGGGTACCTTGGCCTACCTTAGGGTACCTTGGCCTCCCTTAGGGTATCTTGACCTCCCTTAGGCTACCTTGACCTCCCTTAGTGTACCTTGAGCTCCCTTAGGGTACCTTGGCCTCCCTTAGGCTACCTTGGCCTCCCTTAGGCTACCTTGGCCTACCTTAGGGTACCTTGGCCTACCTTAGGGTACGTTGGCCTACCTTAGGGTACCTTGGCCTACCTTAGCGTACCTTGACCTACCTTAGGCTACCTTGGCCTACCTTAGGGTACTTTGGCCTCCCTTAGGGTACCCTAGCCTACCTTAGGGTACCTTGGCCTACCTTAGGGTACCTTGGCCTCCCTTAGGGTACCTTAGCCTACCTTAGGGTACCTTGGCCTACCTTAGGGTACCTTGACCTACCTTAGGGTACCTTGGCCTACCTTAGGGTGCCTTAGCCTATGTTATGGTGACTCAGAGTACTTTACTCTACCTTAGGTTACCTTGGCCTACCTTAGGGTACTTTAGCCTATCTTAGGGTACCTTAGCCTATCTTAGGGTACCTCAGAGTACCCTACTCTACTTTAGCCAACCTTCGCCTCCCTTAGGGTACCTTGGCCTACCTTAGCGTACCTTAGCCTACCTTAGAGTACCTTAGCCTATCTTAGGGTGCCTCAGAGTACCTTACTTTACCATAGGGTACTTTGGCCTACCTTCGGGTACCTTGGCCTACCTTAGGGCATCTTATGGTACCTTGGCCTACCTTAGGGTACCTTGACCTACAGTAGGGTACCTTGGCCTGCCTTAGCCTACCTTAGGGTACCTTATTAATTCTAGTAATTATTTTACAGAAATAAAAGCAACAAGATTGCTGCTTCATGCGAGATAAGCTGATTATTTATTTTTTGTAACAATTTCATTAATTTGTTTGGGCTACTGCACCTGCCTTTAACGTTTTCAAACGTGCTTCAACCTACAATCAGGAGCAAAAATTATTGAGACAACCGTATAAGTGTCCCCATCACCCCCCAATTCAATGTTGTGTGGATGACTGAAAAGAGAAAATTCAACCCACGTTTTCATCACGGGGCAGGGGGGAGGCCGACGTACTTTAAAATGGCCAAAAATGTGAAAAGTCTCATTATTTTTGCACGCGATTGTTGTCACGGAATCATGGTTATTAACACTAAAATAACCCGTTATATTTTTATTTACCAATTACTTGAATGTACATTATGCGCGGGTTCATTTATATTAATTATTATGTATAAACAATGAAAAGTAGCTATTTTCTGTAACTTTTTGATGAAGCGTTAACCTTAAACATTAGATAACATTGACATTAAAAATGTGTAACAATGGCGTAACTAACTCAGTAACTCTATTGATCACTTGCCATCCTAGATCGAATATAGCCTAACTGAAATATAATTGACTTTCAGTCACACTCAATTGACTTGTCTAAATTGCCTGCGTATATACTTGTACTTGCCTCAGCAAGCAATATTAATAAAGTCGCATATATCTTCGATACTCCGCTTGCATTATTAATATTATTCAGTCAAGCCATGTGCTTGTATTGTTACACCACTGCTATATATAACATCTTGACTATAGATTATAGATTATAGTTGTACGGTATATGACTGTATAGTGACATGGAATATAGGCTACTTTTCAAATAATTAGCCATCCTGCTACAACCATGCTACAATTGCAATAAATATTTTATCTTATCAGCTTTATTGGATCGACACAATATAGTAGAAAAATTTACAAGTTATAAGTCCACAGCCTAAAGGGGTAGCGCAAACGGGACAACGAGACCAATGCCAGGCGCAACCCCTAAACTAATATTAAACTAGTAATATTTTGTTAAGTAATATTCTGTTAATACTTTAAATTTGAAGATAACCATTAAAAATTATTGTTCATTCATTCCTATCAGTAGTTACTTTATATAAATGAAATAGATAAGCTGGATAAAAATGTAGAAATGCCAAGGTTCAGTAAAAAGGCCAATGGCCTAGTAGTGATCACTAGTTAGCTGGTCCAGATTGGAATTCCTGTTAAAATATTCTAAAGTAAGCTAGTGTAGCCTAATGTGCTCTAAGGGAGGTTAAGGCACTCTAAGGTACTCCAAGGTTGTACCCATAGAAATAATAGATATCTATTATTTCTATGGTTGTACCCTAAAGTACGCAAAGTTACCGTACTCTAAGGTAGACTAACTCCAAGGTACTCTAAGGTATCCTAAGGTAGGCCAAGGTACCCTTAGGTAGGCTAAGGTACTCTAAAGCCCCGTTACACTACGCTCAATTTTTGGTACGGCACGGATAAAATTGGTACCCGTACCACTTTTTTTGCTCTTGGACCAGCTATTTAGCTAAGCCCCGTTTATACTACGCTCAATTTTTGGTACCATACCACTTCTTGGTTCTTGGACTACCTAAATAGGTAGTCCAAGAACCAAAAAAGTGGTATGGGTACCAATTTTATCCGTGCCGTCCCAAAAATTGAGCGTAGTGTAAACGGGGCTTAAGGCAGGTCAAGCTAGGTACCCTATTGGCAAGGTAAGGTACATAAAGTAGGCCAAGGCACCCTAAGGTAGACCAAGGTACACTAAGGTACACTAAGGTAGGCTAAGGTACCCTAAGGTAGAGTAAGGTACTCTGAGGCACCCTAAGATAGGCCAAGGTACCCTAAGGTAGGCCAAGGTACCCTAAGGTAGGGCCAAGGTACCCTAAGGGAGGCCAAGGTACCCTAAGGTAGGTCAAGGTACCCTAAGGTAGGTCAAGGTACCCTAAGGTAGGCCAAGGTACCCTAAGGTAGGCCAAGGTACCCTAAGGTAGGCAAAGGTACCCTAAGGTAGACCAAGGTACCCTAAGGTAGGCCAAGGTACCCTAAGATAGGCCAAGGTACCCTAAGGGAGGCCAAGGTACCCTAAGGTAGGCAAAGTTACCTTAAGGTAGGTCAAGGTACCCTAAGTGAGGCCAAGGTACCCTAAGGTAGGCCAAGGTACCCTAAGGGAGGCCAAGGTACCTAAGGTAGGTCAAGGTACGCTAAGGTAGGTCAAGGTACCCTAAGGTAGGCCAAAGTACCCTAAGGGAGGCCAAGGTAGCCTAAGGGAGGCCAAGGTACCCTAAGGTAGGTCAAGGTACGCTAAGGTAGGCCAAGGTACACTAAGGGAGGCCAAGGTACCCTAAGGTAGGCCAAGGTACCCTAAGGGAGGCCAAGGTACCCTAAGGTAGGTCAAGGTACCCTAAGTGAGGCCAAGGTACCCTAAGTTAGGCCAAGGTAGCCTAAGGGAGGTCAAGGTACCCTAAGGGAGGCCAAGGTACGCTAAGGTAGGTCAAGGTACCCTAAGGTAGGCCAAAGTACCCTAAGGGAGGCCAAGGTAGCCTAAGCGAGGCCAAGGTACCCTAAGGGAGGCCAAGGTACCCTAAGGTAGGCCAAGGTACCCTAAGGTAGGCCAAAGTACACTAAGGGAGGCCAAGGTAGCCTAAGGGAGGCCAAGGTACCCTGAAGGAGGCCAAGGTACCCTAAGGTAGGCCAAGGTACCCTAAGGGAGGCCAAGGTACCCTAAGGTAGGCCAAGGTACCCTAAGGTAGGCCAAGGTACCCTAAGGTAGGCCAAGGTACCCTAAGGTAGGCCAAGGTACCCTAAGGGAGGCCCAGGTAGCCTAAGGGAGGTCAAGGTACCCTAAGGGAGGCCAAGGTAGCCTGAGGGAGGCCAAGGTACCCTAAGGTAGGTCAAGGTACGCTAAGGTAGGCCACGGTACCCTATGGTAGGTCAAGATACCCTAAGGGAAGCCAAGGTACCCTAAGGTAGGCCACGGTACCATAAGGTAGGCCAATGTAGCCTAAGGGA